CCGGTGCGGTCCCCTGTTCTCTTCCTGGGGTGCTTCTCCGTGGGGCCAGTCGCTCCTCGGGGGTGACGTCGCCCGAATGATCTGGAATCGTACCGTCGGGCCCTGGGGGACGCGATGACTTTGCGGCGGGTCGACCTCGGTCTCCGGTAGGTTCCGTTGTGGGCTGGGCTGGGGTAGTTGGTGGCGTCAGGGTCCCAAGCGGCGGCGGCCAGCCTTGGGGTGGCTCTCCCTCAGGACAGGATGTTCATATTTATGTCAGATGGCAAAACAAATTCTGATCTGAACTGATAAATAAGCTTTGTACTCTTCCATTATGGATGGCTGAGATGCACTGCAATAAAACAATTGCTGGAAATACTACATGCCACAGTGAAATTTCTAGGTGCCGTGGTGACTGGGTAACTGGGATTTGTCAAGCTCTGCCGTCGAATAAAGCCAGGCAACTAGCAGTCTGAGGTCGAGTTCAGACCTATTTGGCCCACTGCACAGTCCCAGATTTCATCTTTATATTGGGCACTTTCAGCTTCTTTCTCCCACAGGAGCCCCAGGTACAAGCAAACTCTCTCCTGTCTAGTGGGAACAATTACAGAAACATTAATGGACTCCTGCCCTTTAACTGTGCACCTCAGCTGCTTCCTCTGAGGTGCAGATAAAGGGTTCATACTGACACATACCTGTCCATATGCATGAACTGCAGTGGTGGCTCGATCTTCCCTTCTGCATTTCGGCAGCTAGCCCTGGGAAGGAAGAGGTTAGAGGTCTTTGTGTGCCTCTTGGCACAGGGGGAAGAGAGTCATTGGCCTTTTCAGCCCTGCTGAGTTCAAAATATAGCCCCTCTTAAAAATTAGTTGCCAGCCAGAGCTCCAGGGAGACAGTGGCTATTTTCATTGGATCGATTAAGAGCCATAATTCACTCACTGTAAAGGGTGTGTGTACATGCTGAGCCAGGCTTTTCAGGAGGGCCAACTTTTTAGTTTGCAGATGAATCATTCCTGTTGGAACCATGTGCTCCCATAAGTCCATAGGCCTGGCTACCCCCTATGCTATATTCCCTCCTTGCCCACCCAACCCCACTTTCTTCCTAGAAATGGCCAGAATGCCCTTGAGAAGTTTTACTTGTCTTACAGAAAGCTGTTTTTCCCCCCTTGGGCTCATAATTCACAACTGACTTCTTGCCTGAATGAGACACTCTGGATCTCACTTTGAGTTGTGCTTGGGGTGAAACCAGGGAGTAGTTAAAATCTTAAGCCAGCCCTGGTTTTGCATTTGCACAGGGGGTAATGTGGGCTGCCCTAATAGCCCAGACTAGGCCTAGCTCTTTGGAGCTCTGAAGCTAAGCAGGGTCCATATGGGAGACCACCAAGGAAAGATGGGGGCTGCTGTGTGGGGGAAGGCAATGGCAAACCATCTCTGCTTATCTCTTGCCTTTAATACCCCATGAGGTGGAATTTCACGGGGTCACTGTGTGACACATCTTACCTCTAATGTGGGCAGAAACCACTGGGTTATGCGCATGAAGTCCCAGAGTATGCGCACGACATGAGAGTACCTGCTCACTGAAGTCAGAACAGCAAGCAGATCATCCTGGCTGAAAAAAGCTGAGAAGTCCCAGGTTCTTGGGATGCCTAAACAATTGCCAGGGGTGCCTGTGGATTTACTGTTCCCCAGATTTTTGTTCAGGTGTTATTACAACAGAACTTTGCTTTGCAGGTGACATATGATGCCCCCTGTTTGGGATTATTTAGCAGAAGCATGGGGGACAAAGCAGACAATCCAGACAGACAGCCTCCGTTCTTCTTTGGAGTCAGGCGCGTTAGCAGGAGCATCCCAATATTTTCCACTCACACCAGAAGCTACTTCTTCTAGCCAGTTACCAAGTTCCTGCTTCTTTCTCCTTTGCTGGGTACAGCCCCTGTCTCTGGAACATTTCTCTGCACCATCCAGCACGCGGGTGTTGGCTGGTAGACGTCTCTAATAGCTAGTAACCAGCAAACATCAAAAGCCATTTCACATGCATCTCCTCTCCATTAGTGCCTACTGAAGAAGCTACTTAGCTATTAAACTAAATAAATATGTAAATGGGCCCAACTAAAGAGGATGATCACATAATAACATTGATTCAGCCTCATTTAGGGTGGATGTGGGGGGGGAATCTAGATGATTCCTCCTTAATAATCAAATTTTATGCCAGCGTCTAGGAATCAAAAACATTTTGTCAGGTATTGCCACTGCCTTTTCTTACAGGTCCAGCAAGGCATTCTGTTCTTTTGTTAGGCTGGGAAATCTCCTAGCTCCTTAACACTGTGCCTGGGAGGGCTTTAGAAGGGCCAGGGGATGGGACTTTATACCCTTACAAAGAGCACTTTCCTGTGGCCATCCTGCGTGTACCAATGCACTTTGTTGACCAGAACATAAATGCAGGGAGGGGGGAGGAAAGAGAACTCTGGATCTTGAATGGCTGGGAAGTTTCTCTCTGCTTGCTGTCTTAAGGAGGATCTTGCCAAAACCTCTGGGAATGTGCATGTGGCTTGGTGTAGGGTCACTTCTTAGGAACTCTTCTGCTAATATACAACACAGGACATGTAACAATTCCTTTTGCTGAACCAGCTGATGTGCAAACTTTCAGGTTACACAGAACTCTTCCTGGCAGTTGTTTGAAAGGTAGTGGCAGGGATTGTGACTTGCTCAGGTTGATAGTCTCCCAGTGAACTTGACATTTCTTTAAACACAGAAAAAGATGGTGTTAAGCAGGACGGATTGAGGGCTGATCCATACATTAAAAAAAACCCACATGGTATTGCCCTTCTGGGCTTTTACCACTACAGGATGCAGGTAGGCAACCTAATAACTTTGTGATGAACAAACTTTGTCTGTACGTCTTTGATTACATGCAAGGTGGACTGCCGATTGGACTGCCTTGATGTTCCCTGCTGAGGAAAGCACTGTGCTGATCAGCTTTGCATCAGCGGAGTAATGGTTTGGACGTTGCAGCTTGCTGCAGCATTTACCCAGTCTAGGAACTAAATCATTTCCTTTACTAGTGAAGGAGTAGTGCCTCCCCATCTCTACCCCTCCTACCCGGCTCATGGTTGTTTGGGTTGTTAAATTGTCTGATTTTTATAAAACACAGTTCTTCACCTTTTTGCACCTTCATGGGCAGTTTCATCCCTTAAATTACTGACACCAGAGAGACTGAATTGTCTTCTGTGCCTGCGCAGCCAGCAGCAACTATTCGAGATGTTTGCAAGAACGAATTGCAAGATTAGCGGGATTCATAGGCATACACTTAAAGCACACCAAGACACCCAAGTAGTAAGTTAGGACTCAAAAATATCTCTCTCCCCCCCTTAATATATGCCTTTTAAAATAGGAAGCAGCAGTGTCAGGGGGCAGTGCCTGCAAAAAAGCCATCTGATTGGTTAAGAAAGACATGAGATGTCCATACTCTGACTCAGTAACTCCCAAAGTACCGTACGAGAATGGCTGGAGTGCCCCGAGAAATTAAGCAATGCATTAAAGGGGCTGTTCAGCTTAAATATATATCAGCAGAGAGAGCTACCTGCTATATCTCTGCATGATTCCCTGCACTGCTCTCCCAGTCAGCCTCTGCTGGGGGAGTTAAGTCAACTGCATTTCATTGCTCCTGAGGAGGCTGCCCATGGTGTGAAAGTATGACTCCCTGACCTAAGTTTGCCTCCTCTTGATCAGGAATTATGTCTTGATTGGTGATTTATGCCAAAACAGAGTGGCTGTGCTATCAGCAGTTGTGGAGTGGAACATGCCTTTGGGACTTTAAATCCCCCATCCTACTTGGATGTTGCTGCTTCTGACCTAGAAGCCTTTCCCATAGGTGGTTTGGTTGGTTTAACTCTGTACTGAGGGAAATACCCTCTGCATGTGTTCACAGGTGCGTCCATCATTGTCTTTACTAGAGATGCACTTTGCATATTCTCTCAGGTGCTTTCTTCTTCTTATTCTTCTTCATCATCATAGTCATTTTTATTACAAGTGCTAATTAGTCAGTTTGTTCTGCAAAATATTGAGCCAGCCCAGTTTTCTAGAGGCCCGTTAGTAGGTAGGCAGAGACGGATACTTGAATGTGCCAGTAAAAGAAAGGATTATTTTCTGGTCTGTCTTTCCACCCCTAGCAGGACTTCATTGACAAGCTCACAAGGGGTCTTCAGCTGAGAGGTGGGACCCCTTCCTTCCCTGTAACACTGCTGGTGGTGCTGATTCTGGTGAAGGAAAGGCTTGCAGGACTTCTTCTTATGATCACTGCTCTGTATCTCCCAGGACTGAAAGGTTCAGCCGTTGAATGCTGGGTAGTGGTCAGAGCGGGCTTCTCATCCCCCTGTGCAGTCCCCCCAGTCACATATACTCTTGGCCTGACCTACCTCACATGAAGCAGAGAAATAAATCCAAGTGTCAGACACCCAGCCTGATGCTCAAATGGCCCGTGGCAGTGGTTTCCCTGGAGTTGTCTCTTCCCCTTTTATATTTCTGTGTTGAGGCATGCTACTGAAAAGCAGATTCCAGAGTAGATGGAAGGGGAGGGGCTGTGGCACAGTGGTAGAGCATCTGCTTGGCATGCCGCAGGCCCCAGGTTCAGTCTCCGCATCTCCAATGAAAAGGATGAAGTTGGAGGTGAAGGGAAAGATTTTCCCTTAGACAGGGTTCCAGTCCTCCAGATGGAGCCTGGAGATTTGCCAGAATTACAACAGATCTCCAGACTACATAGACCACTTCCCCTGGAGAAAAGGGCTCCTTTGGAGGATGGACACTATAGCATTATACCCTGTCCTCCCCAGGCGCCACTCCCCAATCTTCAGGGATATTCCAGCCTGGAGCTGGCAACCCTGTCACAAGACCCTCTGAGTAGGCAGGACTGACCCTGATGGACTGGTGGGCAGGTTCAGTACCAGGCAGCTTCACGTGTGTCCCTCTGGTTCAGACCCTGTCCATAACTGCTTGTATTTGTGTGGTCTCTTCCCCAGGGCAAATGTCATAGGATGAACCCTGCTGGACCACTCTTACTGTCTGTGATATCGTGTCTCCTGTGGCTATCCCAGGGCTTCGACCCAGCTCCCAGCGCCTGCTCCGCCTTGGCCTCCGGGGTCCTCTACGGCTCTTTTTCACTGAAGGACCTCTTCCCCACTGTCTCCACCGGCTGCTCGTGGACCCTGGAGAACCCGGACCCGACCAAATACTCCTTGTACCTCAAGTTCAACCGGGAAGAGCAGGTCTGCACCCACTACTCGCCCATGGTTCTGCCGCTGGATCATTACCTCTCCAATGATACCTGCAGCCAGCCAGAAGTGACGGCCCTGCCTCAGGAGGACCAGGAAGAGGAAGATGGGGATGTCAGGTTGGAGCTTTGCCAAGGGGGAGGCCCATTTGCCTTTTTCCATTTTGACAAGAACTTTGTCCAGCTGTGCCTGGCAGAAGAACCCGAGGCAGCCACTCGCCTGCTGCCCCCAGAGGCTGTAGAGTTCCGCTTTGTGGAAGTCCTCCTGATCAACAACAACAACTCCAGCCAGTTCACCTGCAGCGTCCTGTGCCGTTGGCTGGAAGAGTGCCTCCGTCTTGGCACTGGCCAGCCCTGCGGCCTCTCGCAAACAGGGTGCGTTTGCCAGCCCCCCCAACCCCTGCCGGCCCCTCCACAGCTCAACCAGACACTCTCCAATGCTCTGACACCTCCCGCTCCCAGCGGCAGCAGCAACAGCGAGTGCTGCGTGACTGAATTGCATTCTGGGAATGCGAATGATGTATACTCTCCAGCCATTAAGTATGGTAAGTGGTTGTGGACTGGGGGCGGGGGGCCTTCGCAGAGAATGTTGCTTGCGGAGGGCTTTGTCTCGGCCACTGTGGGACAATTTAATTTAAAATAATTTCTCACAGTCACTAATGTTATTTTGAATCCCTGCTTCACCCCTGGGGATAGGAAAACTACCTCTTTAATAGAATCAGCCCCAACTGACAATGTTATTAGCAAGCTTTTGAGTTCCACAGGGACTCCTCTTCAGGTTACGTACAGAAGTTGCAACCAACTTATGGCGACCCCAGCATGCCACTTTCAAGGCAAATGAGAAGGAGAGATGGCTTGCCATTTCCTTTTTCTGCAGAGCCTTCCTTGGTGGTCTTCCATCCAAGTACCAACCCTGCCTAGAATCTGAGATCTGATGTGATTGGACTATACCATGATTGCTTCCCTCCCATTCTTCGGGTCTCCAGTAGGGGCCAGCCTAGAAGCCCAATTTGCAAAGTGGTGAAGAAGGGCTGTGGGAACTCATTCAGGGATATTATGCCCAGTGTAAAATATCTGTGGTTGCACAGAGGTAAAAGACCCGTGCCTTCAAATTACTGCCAGAGATTGAAGCCCTGTGGAAACTCAAGCTGCAGTGTTAGAAGAGTCAAACGACAAATATATACACTGCAAAAACCTTTATAAGTTAAAGTGTTCTATATGTTCCATCTTATAAAGTGCATTGTGTATTATTCATAATATTCTAAAACAGGTATATATATTCATTACATGCAATATCAACAATAATAATCAGTTTGTACAATCTAATAGCTACCAGTCAATTTACATCCTTTTTACACAATCAACCCCAGTGGGAGTTTCTAGAATTGTACACCCGCTTCTCCTTGCTTTAAAGTCTTCTAAGGGGGGAAGTTTCCTTTTGTGGTTACATTGTTTGTTGCTGGTCCTACAAAAGGCCCATAAGCAGCTGACAATCATAGACGGAGGGCTCCTGTCTTTCTCAAGGCTGCCCTGACAAGAAGATATGGAGGAGGCTCTTAACCTGGATCTCCGTTTTTTAAATGTCAGTGTTTAAAGCAGCTGCAGACCCCCTAATATTGAATTGGGGCTCTGCTGCTGGAGAGGCCTTGCTTCTCCTCAATTTAAATCCCTCCCCATGAAGCAAGAAAGTGACTGAGATAGCTTCATGGCATCTCTGTTAATCTCTGTGGGGAAAATAGTCACTCTGAAGGGGGCATTTAAATTAGGAGAACAGTGCGCTCCCCAACAACATTTCTTTGATCTGGTTTGCCTCTCCTCATTGCTGCTTTTAAAGAAGAACATGCCATCAGTTTGCAACGAACTCATGGTGACCAGGGCTGGTGCTATCATTAGGCCAACCTAGGTGACTGCCTATAGCGCAGGCATCAGAGAAGTGCAGAACTGACGCCAGCAATGGGGGCAGCAATGGGGCAGAGGCGAAGGAGGGAGGCGTGGGGGGGGAGAGAGAGATTAGTGCAAAGGACAATGAGACCCAGGCAGCCAATGAGAAAAGGCCTGGGTGCTGACATATCTGTTACCGGGTAGAAGAGCCCCAGAACGCAGCCTGAGCAGCAGATAAACAGAGGCGCACAAAGCTGCTGTGTTGTATTGGATCATCAGACCGCTGCTGGTCCATCAGTCCTGGGGCCTGTGGGGAGGGCAATGTAGATGGTGAGAGGTCTGGAGATCAAGTCCCATGAGGGAAGGTGTGAGGAGGTTGGTAGATTTAGCCAGGGCTTGTTTTGTAGAAAAAGCCCACCAGGAACTCATTAGCATAATAGGCCACACCCAACAGCAGAAATGCATTAGCCTATCAGGCCACACCCCTGACAGAGCAGCTCATTAGCATATTAGGCCACACCCCCACGTTGCCAGAAGTGTGGTCATCCAGCCACACCCATCTTTTGCTTCTTATTCTGTTTACCTTGTTTCTTGTCAAAACCCAGGGCTTTTTTTGTAAGAGGAACTCATTTCCATGTTAGGCCACACACCCCTAATGTAGCCAATCCTAATGAGTTTCTGCTGTTGGGTGTGGCCTATTATGCTAATGAGTTCCTGCTGGGCGTGGCCAACTCGGGAGCCAGCCGGAACTCCGTTCCTGTGCGTTCCTGCCCAAAAATAGCCCTGGGTTTAGCCTGGAGAGGACAGGACTGAGAGGTGGTATGGTCTGCCCTCTTCAAGTACTGGGCTCTGCTTTGGAGGTTTTGAAGCAGCAGAGGCTCAATGGCCACCTGACAGCAATGCGGATTCTGTGAATTTAGGCAGATTCTGTGTGAGAGAGGGCCTGAAGGGGCTCTCAGAGTGGCCCTTCCTTGCATGCCCAGAGCCAGACCCACCACCACCACTTTGGGGTCAGGAAGGACTTTTCCTCCAGGCCAGATTGGCCCAGGAATCCTGAAGGTTTTTTGCCTTTCTATGGGCACAGAACAGGGGTCGTTGGGGGAGTAAGAACGGAGTTAGCTGTGGATTTCCTGCGTGGTGCAGGGGATGGTGACTAGATGACTCTAGGGGTCCCAGCTCTACCGTTTCTGTGTTTCTAAGGTCAGTCTTGTCTGTTCAGACTGGCAGCAGCTCTCCAGGGCTTCAGGCAGAGGTCCTTCCCGTCCCCTCCCACCTGATCCTTTTTCAAACTGGAGCTGCTGCCAGGGATTGAACCCAGGACCTTCTTCATGCCAAGCAGAGGCTCTACCACTGAGCCAGGGTAGGCCCTAAGGCAAAAGAGGCAGAGGGGTGAAAGCAAAGGTGATCTGGATCCTTGAAACCTCCTCTGCCTGTCCTGTCCCTCTTGGAGTTTCCTGGGGAGGGGCTGCATGCCCTCTGGACTGTGTACAAGGGTGGATTGTGAGAGTCCCCCTCCCCCGCATACATCTGCAGTGGTTCCTCTGGACCCCCCCCAAAGAGGCACAAGCCAGCCCCTCCTGGGCTTTAGAAACAGCCCATCCCCCAAAAAACTTCCAACAGTTTCTTGTTTATTGTGATGCTCATAAGAGTCCCTCCCACAGTCGGGAGTTCCCAATGGCTGTACTCCATCCAGGGGACCACATGTGCCAAAGAAGTCGAGGTGGAAACACACAAAGCAGCCTCAGTTTGGTGCAGTGGTTCAGAGTGTGGACTCTAATGTGGGAGAACCGGGTTTGATTCCCCACTCCTCCACATGCAGCTGCTGGTGTGACCTTGGGTCAGTCACAAGTTCTCTCAGAGCTGTTCTCTCAAGGGCAGTTCTCTCAGAGCTGTTCTCTTAGCCCCACCTACCTCACAGGGTGTCTACTGTGAGGAAAGGAAGGGGAGGAGATTGTAAACCACTCTGAAACTTCCTCCTCCCACCAGTAAGCAGAGCTCCTGGGGGGGGGGGACAGATGAAAGATTGGGAGGGGGGCTTGGAGACACCCATTAATTTTTTATGTGTTCACTTTCTTTATACCATGCATTTCTCCTCTCCTCAGTTTCATCCTCACAACTTCCCTGTGAGGTAGGTTAGGCTCAGAGCATGTGACTAGCCAAGGTCAACTTTCCTAAAGAGAGAGGGAAGAGGTGTCTCTGGAGAGGGGAGTTGCGTCATGGTCTCTATCCTGTTGTAGGGGAAGACTTGCCACTGTTTTGCCCCCTTTACTGTGGTTTCTCCCACTTCGGGGAAGAAGAAGAGAAGAGATTGGATTTATACCCTGCCCTCCACTACCCGAGGGAGTCTCAGAGCGGCTTACAAACTCCTTTCCCTTCCCGTCCCCACAACAGACACCCTGTGAGGTAGGTGGGGCTGAGAGAGCTCTGAGCTAGGGGCTCTGGGGCAAGTGATGCTCTGTCTTCTTGGTGCTTGGGGGGGGGTCAACAGTGGGAGGGCTTCTAATGTCCTGGCCCCACTGCTGGACCTCCTGATGGCACTGGTATTTCTGGCCACTGTGTGACACAGAGTGTTGGACTGGATGGGCCTTTGGCCTGATCCAACATTGGCGTCTCTTATGTTCTTATGTTCTTATGGCTTGCCCAAGGTCATCCAGCAGGTGCAAGTGGAGGAGTGGGGAATCCAACCCGGTTCTCCCAGATTAGAGTCCGCACACTTAACCACTACACCAAACTGGCTCTACCCCCTCTCTCTTTCACCTGAGTAGCCCAAAGACAGCCTGGCAGGCAATGCTCCCTCTAAGCTGTGGAGTCTTGTGAGCAAAAATTCTTCTTTGTGAGCTACTGGCATTAAAGTTGCGAGTGAGCGATTTGGATACTGCATACATTAGTTTGCTCTGAAGCCAATCTTCCTGAGCTAAGACAAACATGTGTGAGTTGGAGGCTAAAAAACTGAGCTAGCTCACACTAACTCAGCTTAGAGGGAACACTGCTGGCAGGGGTGTCGCTTAGCAGCATAGCACGTGGCCAGGCAGGTGGGTAAGGACTTGTGCAGACTTTCTCAAGCTGAACAGACTTTATTTCCACAAGGCACAAATGCAGGGCACTAAAAAAGATAAGATCTAGGCACACTAAGTAAAATGAACAACAAGACAGTTGCTAACTAAAGAACAAAGTTGGAGTCCAGTGGCACCTTGAAAACCAACATTCTGGGTAGAAGCTTTTATGTGCAGGCACACGTCTTCAGATACAGAGGCCACCAACCATTACATATAGGTGGGTGTTGCCAGAGCTCCTGGCTCTGGCTGGGAGGGCGGGGTAGAAATTTGATAAATAACATAAATAAATTTATAAACCACCCTCCCCCACATGGGCTCAGGCACCCCCCCCATGGGGGGTGGTGGCTCATGGTGGTGAACAACAAATACCCAAAATAGTTAAAAGAGTCTAGATGCATACGTAATTGAAAATTGGTTAACAATGGGGGGGGGGGTGCAAGTCGTTAGCCTTGCTTAGGGTGCAAAAAAGCCTAGCCCTGATGGTGATGCCATCCACGAATTGTTCCAAGCAAGAGGTGAGCAGAGATGGTTTGCCTTTGTCTTCTTCTGTATAGCCACCCCATCCAAGTGCTGGCCATCGTTTGGGAATCCTGCACGTAGATCTTCCA